ATTAATGACATCATTGTTATAGTGAAACTTAAATCGTGTCAACAATTAATTGCCTACGGAGATACAGGAATTTTAAGAGTATTGTTTTTCTGTTAAAATATGTGAGTTTTTTATTCTTGCTTTTTTTCAGCAGACTTAGATGTTGTTAATGTCTATCTTTGTCCTGTATGGAACTCCATTATCTCCTCTGCTCCAAACTTTCCATTGATATAAAGTACATTGCGAAACCACGCAACACTTAAACGTGCTTTTGAGTGTAATTTGCAACTGCAAGTCGTAAAAGTACTCAGACAACTCCCACATCATACAGACTCGGCAATGTCTGCGGTCACTGACTGAAGAACCAAAAGATTTCATGCGCAGAACAAGCCAGCCGATGACGTTTATGGTTGGATGTTGCCCTCGGATTGTGTTTGCTTTCATCCAAGACTGTTTCTGGCCCGTATAGCGATCCGCACAATTACTAGTTCGGCTCACGCATCTTCATTCTGCAGGGCTTTGGCCAGCTAAGACGGATACGGAGGACATTAGTCGTCTCATACTTAAGGGTTCAATTGGACTTCACACCATGTTCTAACGCGACAAAAACAATATTTGTATGGGAGCAACTAATTAAGACTAGGACGCCTCAGTTTCCAATAGAAGGCTTGTTTTAAGCCCCATTGCAGCAAAAGGCTTCCATGTAAGTACATAAGTATATATGCAAAGTCCGGCTCGGGACGTTAATTATATATTTTCAACGAGGCAGTTCAGAAGAAAAGGATGCGGTCGCTGGAACAAGAACTTTATTGGCCAGATGTTTCAGATCCTCACTCTAATCCGTAAACAGAGACAGTCAGGGATAAGGGTTGCGGGAGTACAAGGCGTGGAGCATTTATAAGACGTTGTTGTCATGTTAATTGGTAGCTCCCGTAATCGTCGTTGTCAGTCCACGTCCGAGTCGATCATGCCCGTGATTTCATCCACCGTGTTGGATGTTGGTGTGATAATTTCAGAGGGAGAAGATGCGATCGCTGGAACAAGTAGTTTATTGGCTTGACGTTACAGATTCTGGCTTGCAACCATCTTCAGAGACAACCATGGAAATAGAGTCGTCTCGGATGATATGCTCAAGCCAGAATTAAAAACGCCTGGCCAATAAACTTCTTGTTCCAGTGGTCGCAACTTTTCCTTCTGAACTGCTTCCTGGAACTCGTTTGTTCGCTTCTGTCGTTGTGATCATTACTCGACCAGTTGGATTGCTGGCCGTCCTCTCCCCTTCGCGTGACTAATACCTCTGAAATGGCATGCCAATAAACTTCTTTTACTGGCGCTCACATTTTTTTCTTCTTTTAAAACTGGACCTGCCAAAAAGAGGAAGATTTGGCGCTTTGACATTTTTTTCGTACGGTTAACCACCGCTTCCCTCCCTCGTCCATCACACTTTCATCTAAATGTGCTCCGTCCTAGATTCATAGTATCTAACTTGCTTCTTCTAGTGGTTCGAGGTCAACACGT